TACGATGTCATGTGGATTCGTACGAAGATAACAGTGTTTCGGAGAAACATATTGCCTCCATCTTCAGGTCCAAAGACATTATGTGTCTCCAAAACAATGGTATCTACCTATAAATCTCCATGGTGTCACAACCCAGTAAATCACCGTCAAGATTTACGTAAAAGCCACAATTTTAAGCATCAGCCCCTAAGCCATCAGTCAGCTTGTGATCGGAGGTACACGAGTTCCCTACCATCAGACTCATATGGCACGACGCGGTTAATTCCTGCAACCCAGAACCACCACACCCCCTTCAAACAGCGAATTTACCCCGACAATGCAAGGGTTAAGTAAATTTCTAGACAGGAACAATCAGAAATCGTGAATTTTTCCCACAGACTGTGCAGTGTTTAATGGATTTCGTATGATTCTCATATTGAACAGCGATCATTTCCTTAAACAACGTTAACCGATTGACATTTGTAATGGTGAAGTGTTGTGTTTTCTTTTCGGTCCGGACTGGATTCTTAATATAATTTACGTGAACTTGAAGTATCAAAGAGTTAATAATTGCTATTATAGAGTTCTCCAAATCAGTACCGGACTTCCTTGGCACGCTATGTGGAGGCAGTTAGCTAATGAAACTTGTTGGACCTATTCTGTGTTGACCGTGTGTCAACAGGGAGCGCCTTGCTCGGGCAAACACTGCCCCAGAGGGGTGTTAGGGGTGGCTAATTAGTGGAGTAGCCTTCCTCGAGTATCACGTAAATGGTAAAACAAAGATTTATTCTGATATGTCACGTGGTTCGCGGTTCTCCTCCGCACACAGGGAGCCCTTAATCCGCACAAGGAAAACAATAATTTCATCTCGATTATTCTTCAACTTGTTTAACGACACTCTTTGAGCTCCAGAGGTAAATGAGGAAGAATTTGTGTTTGCTTAGAAAAACGTACGTGCAATTCCAGTGCCCTGAGTCACATTGCGTTAATATTCCTGTGCGACGCCATTTTTAACTCTGGCACACTCTAGCATCCAGTGACAAAGTCATGTGAGTCAGAATCGGTCAATCAACTAACTAAACAAACAAACGAACCCTTAAAAATGACCTAAATCAAAGTCAGCCCTGAAGATGGATATAGTACGTTGCTCCGAAACGTTTACATCTACAGACGAGGCTAGACGGTGTCATAACTACTAAAAACATAATCTTTGTCTTCACCTGGAGACGACCCTGAACCTCCCGGTGTGACGACTGGCACTCCTGTTTCTTATTCGGGAGGTCCCTGCCTCGAATCTATCCCGAGGGATATCGAACCTTCCTTCGGTTCCCCTCACACGTTCTGGAATGACCGCCTTCTAAAAAAAAATCTTTCTCGATCCACGATTTAGGTCGATCCTCCGGTCGACCGACCCATAGAGTTGACAAATGTCATCAAGGCGACAAAGGATGCCCCTCGCAGGCCGAAGCTTTTGAGCTGTGACGTGTGACAAGTGGGTCTGCCGCCTCATAATTTCGGGCGCCGGAGACCTCAAGAAAGAGAGTTCCAGGGGAACCGGACATGACGTCATAAATTACACCGAGACGAATTCTTCTTGTCGCCACCCTTCATCTTCCTCTTCCTCACAGATTTATTCTCCTTCGTCTCTCATTCTCCTCTTATACCACATTTCCCCCCCCTTGTCCCACTTTTTCTCCTTCGATGTTTTATTATCCTCATTCTCTTTCCCCTCTCCTTGCAACTTTACTTCCTTTTTCTCCTACACTTCTTCGTCCTCTTATGCTACTTATTCTTCCATTCCCTCCTCGTATATAATTTTCCCCTTCCTCTTCTCCTTCTTCCTCCTATTCTTCTTCTCCTTCTTCTCCTACATTTTCCTCTTCTCCTTCTTCCTCCTATTCTTCTTCTCCTTCTTCTCCTACATTTTCCTCTTCTCCTTCTTCCCCTCCATCTTCCTTCTCTTCTCCTTCTTCTCCTCCTCCATCTTCCTCTTCTCCTTCTTCCTCCTATTCTTCTTCTCCTTCTTCTCCTACATTTTCCTCTTCTCCTTCTTCCTCCTATTCTTCTTCTCCTTCTTCTCCTACATTTTCCTCTTCTCCTTCTTCCTCCTATTTTTCTTCTCCTTCTCCTTCTTCCTTCTCTTCTCCTTCTTCTCCTTCTTCTCCTCCTCCATCTTCCTCTTCTCCTTCTTCCTCCTATTTTTCTTCTCCTTCTCCTTCTTCCTTCTCTTCTCCTTCTTCTCCTTCTTCTCCTCCTCCATCTTCCTCTTCTCCTTCTTCCTCCTATTTTTCTTCTCCTTCTCCTTCTTCTCCTCCTCCATCTTCCTCTTCTCCTTCTTCCTCCTATTCTTCTTCTCCTTCTTCTCCTCTCCATCTTCCTCTTCTCCTTCTTCTTCTCCTCCATCTTCCTTCTATTCTTCTTCTTCTTCGCACAGGCCGTGACGTCATTTGGCTGCTGGCTTCAAAGGCAGCGCCCATCTGCCCTAATGGTCCAGATCGTCAATCGCCTAGTTTCCTAACGTTCTCTCTCCGGAACACCCGGAGCGCATTCCCGCCCGTACGCCTGCACAGGTCGATCAATGAACACACCTGAGTCTTGGCCCCGAAGCCCATAAAGACGACGTCGCCGCTAACACAAGCCCTTCATTTGTTCTGGGCGAGAGACCGGAAATGAGAGGAACGGGGCAGGAAATGACGTACAACGCCACTCGTTTGTTTCTTAAACCACGGCTCGGAGATCATTCAATTTGGCATTCGGAATTCCTATCGAAATTCGGAGAGCAGAAGTTGGCCACCCTGCTTCGTAGAAGACACGCGCGAGTAGATTCTGGCAAGAACGCCTAACTTTTGTCCTCACATTTCGAACAAGCATAAATTATACCTAATAATTAATATTCAAGGCCTATTTCAAATTCAATGGTGAAATTCGACAGTCAAATCATAAATTTCGGAAATTTTCTTCCGAACAATTTTGGCAGGTACATTTTATAATAAAATATAATTTAATGTAACCACAGTTACACAAACATTTTTTTTTGTGAAGGAGGGGTTACAAAACGTGTAAACTATGAAAATTTTAATTTTGTTCCATTTTCCTCCTAAACTGTATTTTGGCAGAAAAATTTCTGTTGAACGCACGTTTAGTATTTTGATTAAATAAAAATTGCCATTAATTTTTTTTTAAAGTAAGGTGCACAGACCTTAAATTCCAGACGGAGTGATCAAAACTTTCTAGTTTCATAATAAATCCAGATTTACGGTGCAACGCCAGCGCCCAACTTCACTCAACCTCGCGTTGTCGTTCGTCAGATTTTTTTTCTTTTTACGCCGGGGGGCCGGTTGATCGAAAGGGGGAGGGGAGTCATAATTCAATTTGCCAGTTCCGCAGAGCCATGGATCTGCATGCAAACCCGCGGAGCGTCGGCATGTTTTATTTAACAAAAAAAAAAAAAAAAAAAAAAAAAAAAAAAAAAAAAAAAAAAAAGTGATCAGGGCTAGACAAGTAAGTGGGCAGGACGGGCCCAACACTGACGTCTCGGTGTAAACATATAAAGGACAGAAATAGTTGACTCTTGAGTGGGCTCTACCGCGTGTTATAATCTTAGACCTCAGCTTCAAGAACGTAATAGCACACAATGGGGACAATTTGTGAATGATGATGTCAGAGAAATGGAAATGAATTGGTCGTGGCCTATTCTAGGATACTATCCCAGCACACCCTGAAGGGACTGAGAAAAATCACGAACAAGTTAGAGCGGATCGCCAACTTCTGCGTCAAAAAATTCGAACCCTGAAAAATACAAAGTAGGAGCATTGGCCATCAACCCACATAAAATATAAATAAAATACGATTATTTAAATAAAAATCACGGGCCTTCACATTTTAGTTAACGAGACTTTAAAACCTTCATTCTTAACCAAGCACCACGCAACGTCGACGTATGGGGGACTGGAGATAAAGCTCCACGCATTCTTAACCCCCTCGCTAGATGGTGGTAAACGATTAGCTTCACGCCCTGGCCACATTACCCCCGAGGAAATAAAGATAGAAGTGGTCCGGACGTTTCGGCAAAGACAAAAACCCTGTCCTATCGGGGAATCGAATCCAGGACGCTCAGCCCGTGACATAATCACCGTATTCACTGGTGAGGGTGACGATGAATCGAGAGTAAGAGACGCAGGGCTTCCTCGAGCGCGGCGGCAGCATCTTATGTAGTAAGATCAGGAAAGCTACAGTCGTATCAGGGTTGAGGTGGGGGGGGGCGTTGAAAGAGGTGGGGGGAAGGAATAGCACAATTTCCTGCCAATATTTTCACACTGACGAAGCCTTTCAAGCGACAAGAACAGGGGGGAGACGTGATCTTCATGAGGAATTAACAGACTGAATGTTATTCCTCATCTCCATCATAATGGATGTGTGTCACCACCACCACCAAGAACTATGTCGAGGTTTGCTGTTGTGGGTTGCGACGCTGAGTCGACTTGTACGTAGAAACTAGCGTTTCAGGGGAACATGCTGTCTCCGTCTCCTGAGCTGAAGAATTCAGCCCTGAAGATGGAATAAAGATGCTTCTTCGAAACGCTTGTATCTACCTAAACGTCCACACGGTGTTACGATCAAATTCACGGCCGTGAGAACCTCTTATGTGGCCCAGCTCAATTGTTCCCTGTTAAACGATGCTGTGACATCTGACAAGGCATTTCGAAGATAAATGCGGAATAATGCAGGAGTTCGAGTTGAGTCATCTTTGAAAAAAAATTAATAGAAGTGTCCTGTGAGTAATTTTGAGAGGAAATTGACCATAAACATACCAAGAATTTCCGTATAAAACGCATTTGTAAGCTGAGCGTTACAGTAACTGTGAACGAGCGAGTCATTCATTCTGGAAAAACTTAACGTAAGTCTACTTTATCGTCATCATCTAAGGAATAAACCTTAAAATATAGCGACTACAACTACGAACGCTCGCTGGGTTACACGCTAACCGTAAGCAAACGACTTGGAACTGTGCCGAAACTCACCTTGGCGCTGTGTCTGTAGGTCAGCCTCGTAGCCCCGGTCACTCGGCTCCTTTTTGACGGACACGTGGCTGTAGGCAAGTCGATCGCACGACGGGGAAGCAGACCTGCAGAACACGTGGCACCCGCGATAACAACACAACAATAATAAATTATTTCTAATAGAAAACACTGGTAAGAACGTCTGACCGGAAAAAGGCTACTTTCAAGACCTAAGCGTAGACGGGAAGGAAAATATTGAAACTGATCTTAAAGAAATTGGATGAAAGCGTGTGCAGGGTTTAATGATAGGATGATTCACGAATAATGAATTGGAAAGGATGTGGAAGGAAGCGGCTGTGGCCTAATTTAAGATAGATCTACTACACCGCCATTTTCCAAGAGGTACGTAAACATATCGCCGAGAATTGAACCAAATACCTCCTAAATACGAAGCCGAAATGTTGAACACTCCGTGAACACAAAAATTAACCTTCGGATTCCATAAAGGGTGTGGAATTTCTTGACTAGCTTAGCGACTATCATCTTCTTAAGAAGGCCTATGTTCCACTGAATTAGCTATCGTGTTTCTGACGCTTCAAAATTGATTTTCCTAGCGCCTACCTTCATGGGAGAATTTTTCTTTTGTAACTTTTATTTTCGAACGAGCCCGTAAATGGTTGCCGTCTGCAAATCTTAAAAACTGACCAGAAAGTTTCGCGAAGAAGCACCCGTGTCCGACGTCTTAAAATGTTTCTACTCGCTTCTTAAGTTCCGATGCTCTGTTTGAAAAAGACGAACTCAGGGCGAGATGTGATAACGAATGCAGTAGCAATCAGGATTATGAGTTCCTTGAGAAGTGAGCAGCTGTTGAAAATTTAAATATCTCTTGTATTCATTTCGCAAAGCATTAAAAATACACGCGTCTCCTTAAGAATCCGCCCCTATAGCGAGATTCATAAATAAATTAGTGACTGAAGCAGGCAACTAACTAAGGCCCTCTCTTATCTGTTTCCAGAAATACAGAACGATGTATCAGAATCTTTCACACAGGCGAATTCTATTTAATTTATAAACAGACATAAAAATCCCGAAATAAAAGTTAATATTACTCTTTCTCTGCTCATTAATAAGCATAAATTGTTATAAAGTCTTAAAACATGGCCTAATTATTTCTGACTTTTCTTCAAGTATGTTTTAAGTTGCTACTTCTCAGTCCAAAATATTTTTTGTCTTCCCGTCTGATTTCTAAGAACCTGAAAATTAAAGTACACAAAACAATAATCTTGCCTGTTGTTTTGTATGGGTGCGAAACATGGTCTCTCACTCAGAGGGAGGAACACAGATTGCAGGTGTTTGAGAATCGGGTGTTGAGGAGGATATTTGGGCCTAAGAGGGAAGACGATGGGGCGTGGAGAAAACTGCACAATGACGAGCTTAAAAATCTGTACTGCTCCCCCAGTATTGTGAGGGTGATTAAGTCGAGAAGAGTGAGAGGGGCGGGACATGTAGCGCGCAGGGATGGGACAAGAGGTGTGCACCGGGTACTGGTTGGGAAACCTGAAGGGAAGAGACCGCTGGGGAGACCTAGACGTAGATGGGAGGATAATCTCAGGCGGGATCTATGGGAGATAGGAGTTGAAGGAGACTGGATTTTGTTGGCCCAGGACAGGGTACGGTGGATGGCTTTGGTTAGTTCGGTGATGAACCTTCGGGTTCGGTAAGCCATCTAGTTAGTTAGTTATGTTTTAAGTTCAGGTCCCTGCCTTAAACACTATTAATTACAGCAATTTACTTAAAACAGGCAATTATTGGTTACGTTGACGATTATTTGCTATTATGGGATTCTAGGCGTAATTCACTACATAAACCTATAATAAAAATTCTTTACAAATACAACATAAAAGGTTTATTATTAAACAGGAGATGATGTTTGAAACGTCACGGACAGATCTGGAAGCGAAGATGGTTGCCATCTTCCGGGTTGTGGTTGCGCCGTGTAGCCTGGTATAAGTTTTCCAACGTTTCGGAGGTATTTTCTGCCTCCATCATCAGGGCGATGAGTAATCTTGATGGAGGCAGCAAGGACCTCCGAAACGTCGTTGTACCAGACCATACGACGCTATAACCCAGAAGATGACAACCATATTTGAGCTCGCAGTAGTGATAACCACAAATCCTGATTAGAAGCACACGTATTTATTAACAGAAAATTCTTGTGGTTTGGTTAAATATCATATTATCATTCCAATTTGGGGTCAAATTTAAAATCTGCCAGGGAAAAATTCTGTAATTTCTTAAGAATCGATAACACAAAATGTGACAATTCGTCGTCTGTGAACAGACAGACGACGTTGAGTAGACGTCGTTTCGATACGAGACCACGAAACGGTTAAAATTGATTACTTCAAGGCATAGACTATCTTTAAAAAAAGAACGAGTTTCCTTGTAAATGTCAGGGAAGTAACAACAGGTCCACTGATAGTTCTGACAAGAGCTAATGGAAATGAAATCACGTAGCGACTCTGTGTCATGAGTACAAAGCGAGCCTCGGCTGTTTGTATTACGAACTTCGTTTCACCTCGAAAAAACATGGATTGAAAACCCACGATATTTGCTTTGTTACAATCTTAAAATGCATATTTCGATAATCCTGTGTTCAGTTCGTTTGAAGTCCAAACAAGACCTAACTAAACCCTTCCTACACTAATATTTATCCAAATAAATTATCTATCGATGTATTTCCAGAGTAAACTATAATTTATTTAGTTCAATTTGCTACTCAGATATGGCGATACACGCCACTCGTTGAAACACTAAAGACGATATTCGTGACAGTTGTTATGAAATGTTTTTACTTCTAAGATCGGAATTTCTTGTATAAACCTCAGGTTTCGACGGCCTGAACGCAAAACCTTTTATCCCACTCAGATGTAAAAGCAGGTATTAAAGTGATTTAAAAAATCAAAAGCAGTGACCACGTGTACCAGACCCAAGCCTCCATCTTCAGGGACAGAAAAATAGTGAGGTCTTAACTGAAGGTTTAACCCGAATCTGCAAAATGTATGCCGACTGTAATGAATGCGAATCTGTATATATTTCTGTATGATTAAACTACATTTAATACATAAGATATTTTAAAAAAATTAATCTGAAACTAGTAAGATCTCGTAAGAACGTTTTCATATACTCTAAAAACTCCGCTCGACATAATTTACAAAGGCTACGTCGTCTCAAATGTATCAGCTGTTTGCTACGCGTAGTTAACAGAACCACATTTCCAAAATTCAAGCAATCTGACCCTTGAAGATTTTGTAGTTGACATCTGATGGCGTAAGAACCTCATGTGACCTCATGGGAGTTACCGTGTTCTGATCCGCCACTTGGGACCTATCATTAGCCAGCTAAATCCAATCCACTGCTACGAATTTTAATATTAATCTTCGCACATGTGCCTAGTTCTGCGAAGTGGCCACTTCCCTTAAAAGACAGGTAAGAAAATGAAGGAATCCCGGACACAGTCGACACAGATCCAAGGGAGTGAGAGGAACCAGTTTCACGACGCACGCACGCCGGAGCCACAACTTACCTGAAGCAGCTTCCAGGAGTCATGTTGAAGAACGCGGATCGGAGGCCCGGGGTTGACACCAGGTCGTCGCACTTTGGGTCCAGGGCGGTCCTGGGCGGCGGGGGGAGTGGGGGCGTGTATCTGGAAGCAAGTCGCAAAGTTGTAGGCACCTCAGACTTCGGCCCCTCGCTCCGTCCGTCTTTACGCTAACAATTACGACAAAAGAAACGGACAGACTCATGCTGTCTGCGTGTGTGTCCTCTTCATTTTCAACTTCTAACTAACTAACTAACTAACTAACTAGATGGCTTAGAGAACCCGAAGGTTCATCACCGAATTAACAAAAGCCCTCCACCGGTCCCTGTCCTGGGCCAGGAAAATCCCGGGAAATATTAAGACACGATTTATTACTTTAGATAACCCGTCATTATTAACGGGTAGTTTTTTTATTTTTGTAAGGTTTTCCAACCTCAGATACGCTGGTAGGTTAATAGCCAGACGTAATAACCCAGAAGCCCACCATCTTTGTTTGTAACCACGTTGTTTGTTTGTTTGTTTGCCGTTTATTTAACAGGACCTAAGTGAATTGGAAAGGATTTGGAAGGAAGCGGCTGTGGCCTAATTTAAGGCACTATTCCGATCGTCCGCTGAAATCAACAGGATTTTCAAATGACAGAAACATTTTCATTCCATATTTTCACATAAGTTGTATAGTTAAAAATAAATAAATACCTGTTACGAGCTGAATCCTTATGGAGTCCTGTGAGTGAACACGGGGCGGGGAATCCAGCAGGGGGACCGCAGTTCGAGTACGGCCCTGCAGTGCTGTAGTGACCCGCAGCGGAGCCTGGGTACGGACAGGACGCGGCGAGATGCGAACACGGCTTGAAGAGACCCGGAGACCGGGGTTCTTGCTTGATGTTCGAACACTCTGCGCACAAGAACACAAAGCGAATGCCAGTAGCGCGAGATGTTAGGTTCTCAAGGCGGCTAGCGTGGTATAAATTAACTCGACGATTCAGATAAGTTGTCCTGATGATAGAGGCAGCAAGTACCTCTGAAACGTCGGTAAATTTCTACCAGAAGACATTAATCTTTATATTCGCTGCCGTGAGAACTTGAGACCTCAAAAAAATTCTCTTATCACGACCACTGTTTGTGGTGTGGCTCTAGAATCAATCCAGCCTTCTAGAAAAGAGGGCCGAAGCGTGAACCATCTTCATCTTACACGAATTAACACGCTGTTTATCTCGCGAAACGAAGTGACGAGCATGAAGCTACAGGTCTTATCCTTTCTACTACCCCTTTATTTATTTTTAGGGGCAGATTTTTTTAATAAGCCACCCCAACAACACTTCCGGTGTGTCTCGCCCCTCATATTTACCGACCCCACGAGGCAGTTTGTTCGGCTTCAAATTTAGGACGTCTCTGTTTTAACATGCCTTGCAATTTCTCGTGAACCTGCGCAGAACTCGATGCGCGTGAGATACTCACGAACATGTAAAGTACGTCGCTGTTATGAACAATTTTGTATTTTTAGTAATAGTCGGTGGATCTGACCTGTGGACTCTCTTTCAAAATAAACGACATAAATTACAGACAAGAATTAAAATGGATTCGCTGTTGGGCATTAAAACTCGTGGATGATTTGCGAATAAGTAATATTTTTATTTGTAGTGTTCTGTCTGACGACAGGTCCATATGAACAGGATCCTTCCATCCTTTTCTCGGACTGGGACCTGTTCATATACGTTCTTGGCAGATGATCCAGAAGTGGTTTGCCATTGCCTTCTTCTGTGTGTGAATGGAGTAATTGTTGGGATGCCACAGAGGAAAACTCCGTGTTGCCTAGACCAAGGCCTTGCCCAACACAAGTTATAAATCCGGGCACCGCCGGGAAACGAAGTGGGTACCCGGGGTTAAAGCGCCAGGAGCTATGCAACTCCTGGTGACAAGTTTGTTTTGTTTACACCGTCTGAGAAGCGTCGAAGGAAAAACTAAAATGCGATGAGTCAGGAAGAGTGAAATGGTCATGAAGGGACTGACATCTCTATCAAAATATAAAACATTTACGATCGAGGACAAAAAACACGGGGAACATTGCGAACCTGACCTCAAATTCTCAATGACAAATGTATATTTAGGCAAGTAAATTCATCTACTCCGGGAACAACCCTCGCTGTTTGTTAGTCGTTGACCCTTGCTGCATGACAAGGCACGCACCACGCCCCCCGGCGGAGGAAGCAGCCATTAATTCAAATAGCAAGTGTTACGGCCTGGTACTCCGGGGGACATGGCCCTTTGATCCACTAATCACTCGACTCGGGCTTTGAGGTGGGCCTCAGATATTCAGTGGTAGTGCAGTACCTGCTTTAATCCTGTAGAGCTCTTGATCAAATCCACGACCTCCACAATGATGGCTGCAGGTGTGGATGGAATTCTCGGACCAGCAGTGTCCCTTCTTAATATGTTAATTAATATAGAAGGAGGCCTGAAGATGACTACAAAATGTCGAAACGCATCGCCTTGATGTGCCAACTCCCCAGTCTAAATTCGCAAGTTACGATACTGTTGCAATCAAATTTGAAATTGTCAAATCAGAGATGTCAAAATTCAAAATCAGTTATTTAATGAGTTTCAAAAACGTTTAACGCTAAATAACCTAGGTTACTGACAGCGTCATTGAATAAACACTTACAGACAAACAAATATTTGAAGGAACGCTTCTGAAATGCGAAAATAACAAATAAAAGCTCCTTCATTTGGGCGCTCCTGGCGGGAGGAATCAGAACTAGTATGACTGAGCTCCAGTGCTATTAAAAAGCCCCGCGGAGCTCCCAGCGGGAGGACAGAACAACGTTTCTGATTATTATTGCTACATAATGTAAGACGACGGAAGTCAAGGACACAAAAACGGGGGTAACGAGAAGCTGGGACGCCATGCTGCGATCAGAGATGGTGGCGACGGCGTCTTAAAGTAGGCCACAGTCACATCTCAGACACGAGACCACCCACGGCGAGCCACAGATCGGGGGTCCAGAGCAGAGTCCGGCACTGGGACGAGGTGGATTTCACTTGGTTGATGGACATCGGATTCTTACTGACCTCAAGAAGGTCAGTAAACCTTCGACGCCCTCAATGGGAGATAAAATACAGGGTTTTGCTTTGTTCCGTGCTATTAGATGATGAATCCTCACCCCCGATCTGTCTACATGCCCAACACATCACATACGAAACAATTATCCTCATGAAGGAGAACCCCCTGACACGACGTGCGTGGTAGAACACAGGCGGTCATTCCTCGAAATATATTTTTTTGCCCCCAAAATCATCCCTTAACGTCTGGATCAACAAATAAAAATCATGGTACACAGTTTACACTGCTCGAACAAGCTCCTGTATTATTAGAAGCCCTGGAGCCCTAGGCAGCCTGCAATACTCTTGTGTACACTGTAATACGGAACAATAAGGAAAGTGCAAATATTTGCTTCTCATCGCTGGCAGCTCGCGTTCACACATCAGCGCGAAATTAAAATCGACTCGTCTGATCCCGGCTTTAAAGAGGCGACGTCGACTATCACGAACAAGATTTTCCTCAGGCGCCATCGTCTTAACGCTTCGAAGCACGAGAAAGGGTTTATAAAGTCAGATAGGTCAGCACAGATTAAAATTACGGACAGAAGAAAATATCACCTTCTACAAGGTTCCCAAGCTTTGCACGCTCGTCCTGTCGATAAAAGGCGGGACTTATATTTTCTTTGAAAAAACATTTAAAAGTGCAGTTAAATAATATTTTAAAATTAATTTCCTACAAATTGAATGATACTGTTAACAGAAATAATCGCTGTTTATTCAGAGATTCATAATAAATTCATAAATACACTTTACGAATAAAATTCAATTAATTGTTTTTGTCCGTCTAATCACAATTTAAAATT